TTTTGTTTTTTTTGTATTTTGGCTTAAAAAATAACAACTTTAAAAGCAAATGGCGAAGTTTAACAGTTAGCTTGCTGTCATTAGATAAGTAAAAATGCTGATAAGTAAAGAATGAACCTCCATGCTGCATGCTCAGTATTCTTTGTAGAAAAAGGAAAAACAAAGTTAACCTATGCTGGAAGGGGGAAAAAAACAGTTTAAGCTATTTAAAAAGGTGCTTGGTTATTAAAGGTTGCATCTTTGACTTTGTCTCCTTGTCATGGTTTTTGGCCATCTCTTTGCTAATTGCATCCTTAATTTATCAGCTCACTAGATGCAGACCAGAGTGGAAGTAGCAAGCTAATTGCAGAAGAGAAAGAACATGAAGATTGACAGAAAAATCTCAGAACCTGCCACCTTATTTATTACATTTCCTGGAAAGCAATGGGATGTGACAAATGCGATAAAGCCGGAGGTAAATGTCTTCCAAAGGCTGTGACACAAGCATACTTCTCCCACATTACCGGGAAACATGGAAGCATCGGTGCATTTGTCGCTAATAATGTGAGTATTTAATTATCAACTTTTTGATGAGTCTGGAATAATACACAGCATATAAAATACGCAATAATTTAATATGAGAAAAATCCAGCTGAAAAATCACATATATTGCACAGTGAGAAAATGCTAAATAGTATGGCAGCTTAGGGAACCTGAGGCCCTCTAGATGCTGCTGGAAGCTCAAACTCCCATCAGCTCCAGCCAGCATGGACAATGGTCAGGGATGATGGGCACTGTAGTCTGTGACATTTATGAGCTTTTTAAGAGTTATGAATGCGTCCAATTTTTTATCCATCTGAAATCCGTCTTTCTGATATCAGTCATGAGAAGAAAAGCAGTGTGATTCTTAACAACGATGTTTCGCTCTTCCAAATAAATACCAATAGGATAACTTATAAATGAATTGTCCAGAGTGCTGTAGCCTTGATATAGCAAAGCAAGTTTGGGGAGACTGAGGAGAACCAACTTCCTATGTCTTGTTAGTGAGCGGCATACTGTGAAAGCCTTGTTTCAAAGCTGCAATGAAACACTAAAGGGGTAAATTGTGTACTTTTATTGCCAGGATTGCATAAGAAGCAATTTACTCACCCACCTGCTGCTACTGAGAATTTATAGTGGTGCCATGTGTTTGAGGTTAGAGAGAAATTCCAATATAGTTTACTCAGTCTGTGTTTGTCAGACACCAGGCTATTCTAATCCGGAATAGTTGCTTCTTTCTTAAGCGCATAACCTTTGCAATCAAGGAAACAGAAGCCAAAATTGGAGCAGAGGCTAGCAGCAGGGCCTTCAAAGCACAGTAGCTGCTAAAACAAAACAAAACAAAACAAAACAAAACAAAACAAAACAAAACATGATATTGAAACTGGGAGAAATTCAATTCACTTTGCATTTAATGGTGAATCCATCAAAATCACACTTTCTGAAACCATATGAGAATGAATATCCCCTTACCTGGGATTCTGGGGGAGTGGTGTTTTCCATACAGCGCAGCCGTGGCTGGTCTGGGGGGGGGGGGCTGCCATCTTCCTGCATAGCTGTGAGAAGGAATGGTCATTGGGCACCATCCTCCTCCGGCCATACTTGACCCTCCACCTGGGGTGGGCCTCATCTGCAAGGCCAATTTGGGCAGGGGCAGGGGCCTTATTTAAAAGGGTGGCCAAGTGCAGGCTGCCCTCTCTGGTGACTATCATGGGATTTCTGCAACCACCCAGTCTGTTAGGGTAAGGACCTTGCTATGGTTTATGTGGTTGCTGTATTAAGAGCCAGGGAGGAATTTTCTCCTAGTAGCAACTTGGCCTGTTGGCAAGTTTTCGCCTACCTCATAGCAACTGTCACAACTTGGCTGGATCCTTAGTTGCAGGGGTACCCCGTTAGAGGGACCCAGGAGGGGTGACTCTGTCCTGGAGACCACGGAACCCAATGGGCCAATACAGTCGTACCTTGGATCCCAAAATCCTTGGTACTCAGACATTTTGGCTCCCGAATGCCACAAACCCGGAAGTGAGTGTTCTGGTTTGCGAACGTTCTTTGGAACCCGAACATCCAACGGGGCTTTGGTGGCTTCCTGCAGCCAATCAGAAGCCACACTTTGGTTTCCGAATGTTTTGGACGTCAAACAGACTTCTGGAACAGATTCCATTCGACTTCCAAGGTATACATGCTATTTCACCAATTTTCTATAATTATCAAAGGATGCCTGGTGGTGTTCTATCATCCCAGCCAGTACTCTTTTTTTCTAAAAATAAATGTTTAGGGGTACTCTCATTTTCCTACTCATATTGAAATTGTTGTTGTTGTTTAGTCGTTTAGTCGTGTCCGACTCTTCGTGACCCCATGGACCAGAGCACACCAGGCACTCCTGTCTTCCACTGCCTCCCGCAGTTTGGTCAAACTCATGCTGGTAGCTTCGAGAACACTGTCCAACCATCTCATCCTCTGTCGTCCCCTTCTTCTTGTGCCCTCCATCTTTCCCAACATCAGGGTCTTTTCCAGGGAGTTTTCTCTTCTCATGAGGTGGCCAAAGTATTGGAGCCTCAGCTTCACGATCTGTCCTTCCAGTGAGCACTGAGGGCTAATTTCCTTAGGAATGGATGGAAATAATACTGCCCCTCAATGAGGCAAAACTTAGATTCACAAAATGTTTAGGGGTATGCGTACCCCTGCTTTCCCCCAGAAAAAAGCACTGATCCCAGCCCATATCAGGTCTGAAGGCACCTTGCTAAGATGAAGCAAGTTTGTGGCTCTTCAGTGTTTGGATGCCAGCTGGGAAGTTATGCATATCAGAAGTTATATAATTCAGTCAAATAAATAAACAAACAAACGTATATACTTTTAAATCACTAATTAACAACTGTAGCTTAAATAGGAACATGTTCTTTCTTAGATTGTTTCATTAAAAAATCATGGAGTCATTTCAGTGTGGGGATCTGGTGTTGTTATGTCATTTTGGGTAGCAATGAACCTTGGTTTGAGCATAAGATGAAATGCATCACGAACCAAGGATGGACAAATTTGTCCACTTTGCATTCTCTCAGTTTCTAATTATTCTCAGCTCTCCATGTTTCTCAATCTGTTTGTGATTTATTTATTTTTTAAAAGCCCTCACAAAAATTCACCACCATTTTTGTGTGCAGTTCTCTTCAGTATACACATTCTTGTGTGCAATTTTGCTTAATATACATTTTTTTGCATGCAATCTCCTCTAATATAAATGCATTTTTATATGCTATTGTTACTAATATCTGTCTTTCACACACATCCTTCCCAATATGCACAGTTTCCTATGTATTCTATGTTGATTTGTGGCCTTCACTGGAATTGCTAACACAAATGTGAACGACCCTGAAGAGATTCTCTAGTAAACAGCATTTGAGATATACATTTTACATTAAGACAGATGAGATGATTTATTATATATTGTCACAACATACACTGCAGGGAGCAATTACAGAAATGGTTGCTTGTGACATTAATTACCATGGCATAGTATTTAAAATGTATTATGTGGTATTCAAAGTTTAAATGAGAAAATATGTATTTGTCAGTAATTTAAACATTTTATTTGGCCTCAGGTCACTGAATCTCCTCCCCACCCCCTTCCCAAAATTACATTCAGATTGACTATCATAACCTTGAGTAATCAAAACTTCAATTTCAGCTATAAGACACCCCCCTTCCAATTTCTATGAGATAGTTTTGCCTCTCTGGTTTTGTGCTTTTCTCTTTTTGCTGCTGTGTCAATTCATTCTTTCAGTTGCTAATATACACTGTAAATGTTCAAATGGATTCTAGGGGAAATAGTTAGAAGTTATAACAACTCCATCTCTTATTACATTTGAAAGATTTCCATTTTACTTAAACATACATTCTGGTAAGGGGTGTTTTGGAGGGAATAGATTGAAAAATGTCGACAAAGTACATCAATTTCGACCTTTCATTTACATTGGCCCAATTCTGCTGGCTCACAGAGGTTTCCTTTTTCTTTATTTTCCCCACTGCCTTTTTTAACTTTCTCAGAAACAAAATACATGAAAGCCTGCTGTCTATAACCCTCATGACACAGCGGCGGAGCAAGCCGATTGGGTCCCTGGGGCGGTGCGTGTGTTCTGCACCCGGGGCGGGGCCAGCTGGGGCAGGACGCTCCGCGGGGCCTCTGAGGAGTCTGTCTGCCTCCTCCCACTCAGCCACCCTACAGCTGAGGGGGAGGCAGCGGGCGGACTGTTTGGGCAGCGCGGAGCCTATGGATGCCCAAGCCACTGCTTCACTCCCAGGAGAGATGCATGGCTCGGGAGCGCTGCAGGCCCCATGGTGAGTGCTGTCCACCATTTTGTCACCCCCCGCAGTGGTGACATCTGGGGTGACCCGCCCCCACCGCACCCCCTTCATCTGCCCCTATCATGACAATATGCACAATATGCATATTGTGTGTGTGGAGAGGGAAAGGAATTGTGGCCACTGTCCCCTGCCCCAATCTCCACACATTCCTTGACTCTGTGTTCCCAATATGTAGATTCTGTACATGAAGACCTGAAAAACGCATGGCAGCTGAAAGTAGAGACAGCTGGCTGCAATTCCTTCCTCTCCCCTCCCTCTCCCCCTCTCAGACCTGACCTCCCCGCCTCATCGACTGCCATGCATTCATTATACAAAATTTCCTTAAATGGATACAGTTTTGAGCTACAGTGGTATCTCAGGTTATGTACTTAATTCGTTCTTAACCTGAAACTGTTCTTAACCTGAAGCACCACTTTAGCTAATGGGGCCTGCTGCTGCCGCTGCACGGTTTCTGTTCTCATCCTGAAGCAAAGTTCTTAACCCGAGGTAATATTTCTTGGTTAGCAGAGTCTGTAACCTGGAGGGTATGTAACCTGAAGCATATGTAACCCGAGGTACCACTGTATTCAGATTTCTTTCCATATTTTTAGAAGATAGGGTTGCATGACTGGAAGAAACAGAAGAATACCTAGAAGAATTAGCTCAAGCAGTAGAGCATCAGACTCGATCTCAGGGCCATGGGTTCAAGCCCCACATTGGGCAATAGATTCCTGCATGGCAGGGGGTTGGACTAGATGGCCTTCGTGGTCCCTTTCAACTCAACAATTCTATGACTCTATGAATGCAATCTGGTTTTAGCACAGCCTTGGTTGCCCTAACTGATTATCTCTAGTGAGAGACAGACAGGGTGAGTGGGATCCTGTTGGTTCTCCTTGATCTCCCAGCAGCTATTGACCATGGTTTCTTTCTGGAGCCACTCAGGGAGGTGGGAGTCAGAATCACTGTATTACAGTGATCTCATTTTTACCCGTGCGGTAGGTAGTACTAGGAGACTGTTGTGGGGTCATGAAAGGATACATTCTGTCTCCTGTGCTATTCAGCATCTATATGAAGCCATCGGGACCTGCCACCTGGGGATATGAAGTGCGATATCATCAGAACGCCACTCCTATATGTCTGCACCAGGAGAGACTACACTGATGAAGAACTGAAGAACTGGTATTAGTGGCTGACTAGAATCCCCCTTACTGAAAAGGTCTTTAATTGCCAATGAAGCCTTGTAACTGTCGGTGTCTTGCCTGACTAGCCTCCAAAGGGAGACCATTCCATAGAGTTGGCATCACCATGAAGGTTTCTTGCCATATTGCCATTCAACAGGCAATGATGGATCCTCCTCTGCAGATTTTAGTGACCAGAATGGTCTAAATGGGAGAAGTCATTCTCTCAGGGCACCTGGTCCTGAGCCAATATGCAGTGCTATTTTTCCAGAAAAAGAGGTGCCAGAACTCACCATGAACACCTCTCTCATTCTCTTAGAATATCAATGGCACTCACCTGAGAAGTGCCAGAACTGAGTTCTGGTGAGTTACGGCTGAAAAAAGCCCTGCCAATATGTATAGGAGAAACAGATTATCTGGCCCTGGCTTTATAGATTAATAAAAGAATGTTAAACTTGTGAGGAGCTTTTCCTACACTCGAGTAGGACCCTGGTAGAGACACATGCCCGACTGGCATGTTCTCTCCCTTCTGCCCAAACATCACAGCAACCGATGCCAACAGACATTGGCACACTAAGGGATCTGCAGAGTCTTCGCAGCTTGCGTGACAGACCTCAGCAACTCAGCATTTTGGCTAATCTACTTTATTTACATATAAACACACACAGAGCACTGCAACATGGCTCCCTCTCTCTCTAGCATCAGACAGCAAAGAGAGTGAACAAAGGACAACAGTCCCACTTCACAGAACACAGTAACACAAACATCCTGTCTCTGTCACTTCCCATTCTGTGGAGTCAAAACATACTGTCATGTGAAAGACAACAATCCCACGACTGCAATCATGGAGCAGGAATTCTAACAAAACTTGGCTTGCAGTTCTTTTAGCCCAGGTGTCAGATGTGAATCACTTAGCATTCTGCACCAACTGCAGCTTTCACATCAACCTTAAGGGCAGCTCCACATAGAGTGCATTACAGCAGTCCAGTCTTCAGGTTTCTAATGCTGAGACTACTGTAGCTTAGTTAGGGAAGCCAGTGCCATTTACTTACCAGTGCACAGTGATTACAGATGTTAAAACATATTGGGAATAAACTGTTCATCTGAACCCATCCTTGAATGGAAAACTCACCTGGGGGTGGGGCGGGTAAGCCAAGGTAACAGCATCAACAACAACATCGATTTCTAAGGAATCATTAAGTAGAAATCTCTGTTGACTTGATTGCTACTTCTTCTTGTACACGGCATTATTTTCATTTGGATTCCGAAATTAATTGCAGGCTGAATCTGAGCCTTTCTGTGTTAAATTGCACAGAAACAAAATGAGCTGCAGTTTGCCGGTATGTGTATCTGTGGTGGTGTTTTTTGTTTTTTAAAAAAGTCAGCCAAGGAGAATTTTCACACATCATTAATAAATATAAACGAGAGGTAAAATGATGCCTTTAGAATGCAGGAGCAATTCTTCAGGCTTTTTGATCACTCATTATACATGGGGGCTTTTAGGAGACCACATTAGCTTTACTGTCTTATCACACAGAATAACTCAAAATTGCTCAAAGCTGCCGCAAATGATACAGAGATTATCTGAAGCATAGCGACTCGACTCTTCTTATGTTATTCAAACCTAATCCAATTTCTTTTTCTATTCTCAAAGACCCTTTTATGAACATAATAATTTCCTTATGAAGAGAGACTGAACTGCTAAGGATTTACTGCGTGATGGAAGGTTGAGTATAGAACAAGGAGACTTTTTCTTGTTACTAATATAATGTTCTGTGTCAATTTTGCAGATAGCCATGGACAGAACCGGAAGCACTTTATGGAGAGGAGCATGACTTCTTGTTTTCTTATGCCTTTGTCATGTGAGATTCAGGAATGGCAAAGGAATGGCAGTTTGATCCATCTTTTAGATTTAGGGGAGCTAGTCTCAAACGTTTGTTGGGGGAGACCTAGGTGTTTTTTTTTGGGGGGGGGTTATTTGTCCTGTCTTCACTCTTTTTAAGATGGAGGACCACTGTAGCCACTCCCAACGACACGTTTTCAAGATGGAGGGTGAGGGAACAGCTGCAGTCGCCTGCGGTTCCTGCGCAATGTTTGCCATCTTGCCAAAGGTTGCAGGCAGCTTTACCTGCAGCAATTGTATGTTGATTTCCCTCTTAGAAGACAAAGTCCAGCAACTGGAGGAACGTGTAGCTACGCTCCAAAGAATTAGAGAGCTGGAGCTCTTCTTGGAAGCAACAGAGAACACCGTCTCCACCAAGGAGGAGACAGGGGACACCCCTGAGAAGGAGGCTAGTTCACCAACACAGGTGCCAGATATATGGAGAAATGTGACTCAAAGAAGTAGGAGGCCCAGGGTTCGCTCTGATTGTTTAGAAATACACAATCGCTTTGAAGTCCTCTCCCCTAGCATGGAAGACAAAGAACAGACTCCATTTGAGGATCTCTCCTCATTACAGTCGATCAGGTATATGAAGACGAGCAGCAAAGTCAGTCCTCAGGGAATGTGCAGGCGACCTTGGAACGGACAGCTCACGGAAGAACCCCGACCAAACCTAAGAGGAGGCGTGTAGTGGTGATAGGGGATTCCCTACTGAGGGGAACAGAAGCAGTGATCTGTGGGCCTGACAAGATGTCTCGGGAGGTGTGCTGTCTCCCCGGGGCTAAGATCCAAGCTGTAACTGAACGACTGCAAGGAATCATAAAACCCACTGACAAATACCCCTTCCTCTTGGTTCATGTGGGAACCAATGACACTGCAAGCAATAGCCTCCAGAAGATCAAAAGAGACTACGAGGCTCTGGGCAGGAAACTGAAGCAATTAAATGCACAAATTGTCATCTCATCTGTCCTCCCAGTTGAACGACGTGGCCCAGGGAGAGAGGGAAAATAGTGGAAGTGAACAGCTGGCTTCGCAAATGGTGTAAACAGGAACGGTTTGGATTCTTAGATCACGGACTGCAGTTTCTTGAAGATGGACTTCTGGCAAGCGATGGGCTGCACCTCACAACCATTGGGAGGAATGTTTTTTTTTGGTGGGGTGGGGTGGGGTGGGGGGAATTGATTGACCTCTTATGAGACATCAGAAAACTAAAGTCTAACAAATGGAAAGAGTTTCTGCGCTGACTCCTTCATTTTGTGCTTCTTTGTACTTTCCATATGTTTGTTAAAACTTCCATAACAAAACTTTCTCTAACGTAATTCAGGGCATATAGCTCTGGAGCGCTTAGCCACAGCCAGCAAATCCCTAAAGACAAGCATGTTTTCCAGACATTTGACAATTCAAAAATGTAAACAATGAGTTTTTCAATAAAAGTTGAAAGAATTTTTATTACTAGTTGGCTGGATAGTCTGAGCTGCCCAAAAATAATTATCTCTTCCATTGAGAAATAAAATGAAATTGTGCTTGGCTGACAAGAGATGTCAGATGTAATCAGGGAAGAGCAAGCTATTATTTAGGCATCCGTGGGTTCTCTCCATATTTTATTAGATAATATTCAAGGAAATAGTTTGACAATACTAGGCAGAGCCTGTTTGCATAGCGTGCCAGAAGAGTTTTATTGAAGTCTGTGCTGTAAAGCCCAACACACACAGTAGGATTTTAGTCCTAACCTTCATAGAGAAGGGCATGTTTGTTGTGGAATATTCTCAGGTGGCCAAAATTTACTTTAGATTCACCCAACATAGGGCTGATTGCGTAGCAGATACATTCTCTTATAGCACGGCTAATGTAGGGCAGAATTGCAAAGATCTGAGAAGCCTGGATAGCTCAGTTGGTTAGAGCATGGGGCTGATAATGCCAAGGTTGTAAGTTCGATCCCCTTCCACCCTTTCTAAGGCTCCTCCTCTCCCGGATGTTTCCCAAGCAGTCTCGAACTGCGTCTACACACTTCTGGTTTCTGTTCTGCCCTCCTCACTATCCTGCATATTCTTGGACACCAGGGGGAAGTGAGCTTGATGCAACAGGACAGGGAAACTCTCTAGATTCTTCAGCAGCCTCTCGGCCCCCCTCCTCTGCTTCAGGCTCAGAGTCTGAACTGCTCCCTGTCACAGGCTCTTCCTGCTCACTAAACCTTGTTGCCCCTTCAGAATCCAGCCCCTCCTCCTAATCTTCTTCCTCTAACCTCTTCTCTGCGTCCCACCACCAATCCCCAGGCTGTGAGCCTTCCTCCACTGGGGTTTCCCTTGGGGGTTCCCCTGCTGGTGCCTCCCACCACTCCTCTTTGTCCAGCCAGTCCCTGACACATGATCTCAGCTAGTCAGAGTCACAGACTGCCCCATTCCATCAATCAGGAAGATTGCTTTTCTGGAGAGGCAGTGTCCCTGTGACTCTGGACAAATAGAAACAACAGAGCATGTGCTTCTTCATTGTAATAATAATAATAATAATAATAATAATATTTGTTTATACCCCGCCTTCCCCAGCCAAGACCGGGCCCAGGGTGGCTAACAACCAATATAAAAACAAATTGATTGAAACACAACTTAAAAACAAGATTAAAATGCAACATTAAAACATTAAAATGCAGCCTCATTTCAATGGAAACTCAAATCAAAAACTTTTTTTGGGATGAAAACATCAGGTCTTCACCAAGTCTAACTATCCAGACTGGTCCTACATGGGCCAGAAAAAAAGCCAGGGAAGTCCCCAAATAGGAGTTCCATCACAGGAGGAGAAAGGAAAAAAGAAAGAGGGGGAGGGAATCAAATTGATTCCAAGCCAAAGGCCAGGCGGAACAACTCTGTCTTACAGGCCCTGCGGAAAGAAATCAGATCCTGCAGGGCCCTGGTCTCATGAGACAGAGTGTTCCACCTCTGACATTCATACTATGAATGTCACCAGAGACATTCATACTAGCCTCATCCTACCATCACTGCATAAGTACCCAGGGTACACAGGACTATTCTATACCTCCTTGCTGCTTTCAGATGCCAGTCCTGCTATAACATACGTTGTCAGATTCTGCACAGCAGCGCTCAAGATTCGATGGATGATGACCTGTGCCACAAACTAGATATATATTCTGTTTTAACTTCTTTTAGTGTTTTTGTTTGTTTTGTTTTAGATTTTAAATGATTTTAAAAGGTTGTACTCCTCCCTCCTTATGCTGGTCTTTGACCATAATAAAGTGTTGTTGTTGTTGCCAACCACAGTCACAGACTGCCCCTTTCCATCAGTCACCCATAATCCACAGTGCCGTGACCAGCTGCCCTAGCAGTTTTAGATAATTACCAGCACCTTGGAAGTAAACAGGGACATGTTAAAGCAGAGTAGGCCCTGAGTTACATTCACAGCTAGGAGAAATCAGTAAAGACCAAGTCCTGTGCTAATGTAATTTGACACAAATCCTATGAAGTCAGTAGTGTTGCATTAATGCGCACCAGGAGGACCTGGGCTTCGATCTGAGTTGAAATAACACGGTGCTTTAGAAAAAAATATCCCTGTAGATATGCCAATATAAAATTGTAGCAGTTAACATACATTTTACAAATTGCTCAAGATAGTGCATTTTTTGGAATTTTCTCATCTCAGCATCTGATTCACACAATTACTTTTGGCGGGGGCTTTTTATTCGGCCTACGTCACCTCTTTTTGTCTATCCAGACTAAATGATGGTATTGTGAAGCAGTCATTTGAGTGAGACATTGGAAAACAGTCTTCTGAATGTCACATAATGAGCCCACATCCTGATAGATAGCATTACTATAAAGATTTGAAGTTCTGTGTTAAACCAGGATATTGGTATATGGTTGGGCAGTCTGCTCAGTGCTGCTCCATGTACCCATTTAGACTAGGCCAGAAGAAAATTGGTAGAAAATAAACTTATTGGGTGAATTGCCTCTTCCATACCTAAAAATGATACCTTAGAGGACACCCTCTTAAACAGGGGTGAAAAGCACTCAAAATATTTCCACTATTTCAGCTTCATTCTAAAGGAAATGACTGCCTAAATGACATCTGTTTTTGAAAACCAGGGCCAATTCTCCTGTTGGACAGAGTGAGACAAATACCTCAGGCAGTAGATGCTGGGGAGCAGCAGCAGCAGCCCTGGTTGTTCCTCCTGAGACCCATCTTGTCCATCTCAGGCAGTAAAATGACTTGGTCCAGCCCTGTTGAAAAGCTAACAACCCTTTGTTTTACAAATATGTTATCTGACTTTAGAAATATATGTGCTAATAAGCGCCATCTCGTCTCTGCTCTGTTTGATCCAGTGAGGTGTGTCTGCAGCAGTGCTTTTTCCCATGGTGGTAATGGATGGTGTTTTCATGCAATGCAAAACTGCCCTAAGAAACATCCATCACAATAGTGCTCTCAGATGAAACCAAGCTGGGGAGTGGATGAGAACAAGGCAGCAAACAGTTCTGATTGCTGGCATCTCCAAAGGGCTAGAAGAGTGTTGGCATAGGGGCCTCCTTGTTTTTTTGAATAGCCCAAGTATATGTCAAGTTGCTTATAATACTCAAAGAGAAGACATAACAGATGCACCTTCATGGGACTTGGCACTAACTCATAGATGATCAATGTTGCATTCAGAAGCAGGGTTTATTGTGTCAGACCCTCCAAGTGTCCCTATTTTCCAGGGACATCCCTGACTTAGAGAAGCCATCCTGGTTTCTTATTTGATTTCTTAGCTTTTTTTATTTTGACACAACCTTGCAATAACCTTGCAACTATCTTCCATGGAAAGCAAAGGTCTGGTACATGGGATGGAAAAGAAAATGGCTGCCCTGGGGTTGGGTCCATGTCACCATTTGTCATTGTTTTCCAGCATCAGAGAAGGAGCTGAATCACCTTCGTCCTGATAAGAAAGGTCTATTGAAATTTGAACAATGAAACAAACATACAGTTTGGTCGTGAGGAGGGTCACATTTTGCAGTGATTCACCAGACTGCCATCTCACAAAACAGTCACTCAAATATATTGTTATACCTTGGATGTGAGGATAGATCAATAGGATTATGACTTTTTATGTCCAAGAGCCATTGTGATAGATCAAGGGCTTAAACAACACACTTGAGTGACAGCTTAACAGAAGAAAAATCCAATAACCATAGAATACTCTTAAGGGAAATTTCCCCTCTTTATATTGTAATAATACACACAGACATGGCAGCTTGATACGTTCTCTGCATGTCATGTTCTTAAAAATGGAATAAATAAAACTGAGTTCTAATAATAGAGAGGTCTATTAGATTTATTGGAAGATCACAGCAATATATCTTAGGCTGAGGCTTGTCAGAGCTAATATCTTATGGTGGTAAGTGGGTGAGTCTGGCTCACCCAACCACTTTCCAGCTTCAAACAAGTAACCTATACTGCTGTCAAAGATTGGAAACCAACAAGCCTATGTAAAATCTAGTTTTTTGTAAAATAGCTACTGTGCACACTTTTGTGGAGCTGCCAGCAAAGCCATCTTTGCTGTTCCTGAGAGAAAAGAAATGATGCCCATTCAGAATGTGTATGTGAATACATTTCTCTCCTCTGCTGCAGCCTGATGTATTGACTCTTGCCAGAAGACAGCTGATGTGGGAGAAGCCTGATGTCTTAACAGAGAGTGGATGGCGGTCCTACTTCCCTTCTCTTCCCTCCTCTGACACAGAACTTAATCTAATGAAACAGGCTGCTGTCTGTGAAGCTCATGCCATAGAAAACTGAAAGCATCTTAATGGGATTAGGGCATATTAGAAGACCTGTTGCAGGGTGGTGGTGACCCTATTTCTTTGTTGCCACCATTGCATCATTTTTGCTGCTGAAAACTTTGATGTCACAGGAGAAATGTGGAACCAACAAATTCTACTTTACACTATGCAGTTCTCACTACAGCAACTATTTTGGAGGGCATTCAGGGTAACTGGCTATTAACTTTCACACCATTGAACTCAATTATTGTAGTGTGATTTCTGCTGTTGATTTATTTTATTTGCTTGATTTATATTGTTGTTAAGCTGCTTTGTGGAGTCTGGTGGATGGAAAGAATACTATCTGAGATATTCTTAAAATAAATTGAACAAAAACCACCATTTCACTGATTTACCACCTTTATTTGAAGAGACACAGTTGGACTCTGTTAATTTCTCTGGATGTTCCAAAAGCTTTCAATCCCTGTGGTTTCCTTCCAGGATTGGTCCAAGACATTTTGGTCACATCCATACATTTAAAGCACATGTTTTTCCCCAAAGAATAACACAATGTGTAGTTTACCTCTCATAGAGCTACCATTCCCAGCACCCTTAACAGAAACCCCATGATTGCTTTAAATGCTTGGTGTGGATATAACCATTTTACTGCCTGAGACAAAGGACAAGATGGCAGCCCCATTCTACATACCTTCCAACTTCAACTAGACTGGAAGCTGAATCTTATGACACTGTTTCTGATGCTTCTTTATTTTCCTTAAAAAAATGTGTTGCATTTCTTTTACCTGACAATATTCCAGCATGCTAACTGTTAAATGTTAAGAGAAGACTAAAAAAAAAATCACTACTCTTACTGATGATGATGTATTATTGGCGTAGCATTCTGGAAATGTTATAATGTTTGTCTCCCCCCAAGAGTGAATGTTTGGTGATCTGTGAAATGCAGCAATATTCATGTTTCACAGAGCAACTATTTTTAGACACTGTGTGCTGAGTGCTGTTCAGGTGCAAGCCATGAGTTATGATTATGCAATAAAGATGGATTGACTCTTCTGTATGAAAACATTGAAAAGCACCGCTGATGGTTGGAGTGGTGGACCTGATAATTACAGTAGCAGCCTAACCAAATGTTGTGTTTGCTGAAAGCAAGCAAACTTTATTTTGGTTTGCAGTGTTTAATCAATAGGACCCATAGATTCAAA